GCAAACAGCGAGCTATTTCACGCACGTCCTACCCGAACTGCCGCTAAGAGAAAAAAGGACGCTCACGAGGCACGCATGCCGCGGGGTGTTATGGGTAGGGCGCCAGAGGGCGCTATTGTATATAACTCTTAGCGAAAATACCTGCCGGTAGGGGGAATATGCATAAGTAGTGTTGCTCTACAGGTAAGTAGAGTGAAGTAGACTCCACAAGTGTCAATCAAAGTATGGTCAGAGTAGTTTCTGACAGAGGTATAAAGCGAGATTTGCAGGTTGGCAGTAAGATTCATAAAGATCAGATCTACTAGATGAGATGCTAGAATTGTTCTAGCGATCTAATGCGTTCAGAACGCAAACAAGTCTGAATAGACTTGCACCATAGTATGCGTGATTTATCCTCAGCGGAAGGTATTTGGTATTGTACAAAACAAACAAAAAAGATAGTTCTGAAAAGCTTGCCTTAATATAATATCAAATGTGGTACGAATATTCAGAAATATCCATAACAATTGTAAAGAGGAGGGTAGTCTCAAGGTTAATTCTATTATTGATTACGCAAATATGCTCAATGAAAGGCTCTTACGCCTAAATGATAGACCCTAGTTCTGTAAATATTGTCTCCATCAAGACGTCTTTAAGGTTCATATTATTGAATGACCGTAATTAAAACATTGTCGTACCTGGTAGTCATCACAGCGATGAGACTAAACATAATATCAAATGGGGTACGAATAATTAGAATTAATCATAACAATTGCAAAAATAACAGCGTTGCTGTTGAAACCCCTCAGCCAGAGTCAAGTTATCATCCGGAAACCATTAACCTTTAACTCAACGTGGTGACCTTGACCTTTGGCCTTTGACCCCAGAACCAGTCCCAACATGCCTGTACCAATGGGAAACCCCCTACCGAAGTTAGACACCAACATTTCATTTCTAACTCAAGTTATCATTCGGAACCATTTACATTGAACTCACCACGGTGACCTTGACCTTTGACCTTATGACCCCAAAACCAATCCCAACTTGCCTGTACCCAAGGGCAAACCCCTACCTCAGTCAGACACCAAAATCTCATTTCTAACTCAAGTTATCATCCGGAAACCATTTACCTTTAACTCACCATGCTGACCTTGACCTTTGACCTTTTGACCCAAAAACCAATCCCAACTTGCCTTCTCCCAAGGGGAACCCTCTTCCAAAGTTAGACACCAAAATCGCATTTCTAACTCAAGTTATCATCCGGAAACCATTTACCTTTAACTCACAATGGTGACCTTGACCTTTGACCTTTTGACCCAAAAACCAATCCCAACTTGCCTACTCCCAAGGGCAACCCTCTACCAAAGTTAGACACCAAAATCTCATTTCTAACTCAAGTTATCATCCGGAAACCATTTACATTTAACTCACCACGGTGACCTTGACCTTTGACCTTTTGACCCCAAAACCAATCCCAACTTGCCTACTCCCAAGGGCAACCCCCTACCAAAGTTAGACACCAAAATCTCATTTCTAACTCAAGTTATCATCCGGAAACCATTTACATTTAACTCACCACGGTGACCTTGACCTTTGACCTTTTGACCTCAAAACCAATCCCAACTTGCCTACTCCCAAGGGCAACCCCCTACCGAAGTTACAACCCCAAACAACATTTCTAACTCAAGTTATCATCCGGAAACTAAGCTGCCCGGACGGACGGACGGACGGACGGACGGACATACATCCGGACGGACGGACGCCCTAGGCGATGACAATACCCCTCGAGCCTCTCGGCTGAGGGGTAAAAACGAGTGTTGTCTCAGGTATAATTCTGTATAATTAATTGATTACTTAAATGTGTCTATAATGAAAGGCTCTTACGCCTAGATAACAGATGATATTTCTGTAAATACTATCAAGTCTTTAAAAGTTCGAATTATTGAAAGATGTAATTAAAACATTGGGTCGTCGTACCCGGTTGCCAGGCGCGGTTCTAGAACCAATATTTTTGGGGGGGCTAGCACGGTGGATCCAGAATTTTTTCAGGGAGGCGTGCTGAAATGTTGACCGGTTATTTTTTCCAGACACTTAGGCCTCCGAAAATCAATAGGTGGGGAGGGGGGGTTTCATGCAAGGGCGGATCCAGAACACAATTTTGAGGGGGGCCTAAAAAAAAATTTTGGGTCCCCCCAAAAAGTGGTTCAAAAAAAAAAAATTTGGATCCTAGATGCTCTGTGGTGCGATCTGAGGCAATTTCTGACTACTTTAACCAATGTTTTTTGGAGGAAAAGACTGTGGTGTACTCATTGCCTGCCTTTATTGCGATGTCACATAAAAAAAAAATTGTTTCGTTTTGGGGTGGGGGGTGGGGGGGGGGGGGCATGGCCCCCTTTGGCCCCCCCCCTCCCCTGGATCCGCCCTTGGGTTCATGCCATATTTTCAATGGGGAGCGCCAATAAAATCCAAAATTCATTCACACTATATTAACTAATGCACCCTTGTCACGGCTATTTCTTCTTTAGGGGGAGACCGTTCGCATGTACATCACAATCCTTCTTTATGCTAATGCAATTTTATTTTTTTACGTAATTTATTTTGGGGGAGCTAGACAAAATTTTTGGGGGGCTACAGCCCCCCCTAGCCCCCCCGTAGAACCGGGCCTGCCGGTTGCTGCTGCAAGCACAAAGACCAAAATCAGGATGATTTGATGTTTATTGTGTAGAATGGTGTTGAAATGATAACTGTTCCTGTTCCCGGACACAAAACTGCATGACCTTCACTTCCGGAGTTACCGGAAGAGCAATAAAAACCAAATATGACTCAAAAGCGGAAGCATTTTACTACACACATACAAATTAAGAAAGTGTTGGTAAGGAATGTCTGACACATAAAACAGTGTGATGACGTCATCTTTTGAAAGGGCGCCCCCTAGTGGCACATAAAAGAGTGTTTGCTTTCTTTAGTTTGGAAACCATCCATTCCAATTTTACAAAATTGCCCTTTCATAGTCTTTGATTAACCACATATAACTTGGCAAGGTTGCAAATTCATGACGTCATCAGACCAGAAGTTACTTCTATGAAAATTTGAAAACGATCAAATTTTAAATTTAATATCTTTTGATCCATGTCGATCTTAGCCCAAATAAGATTTCCATCACAATATTAACCTTTGCTTCCAAATACTGTGTCATCATCGAAGCGGAAGGTAGGTGTAATGAATACATACGTTATTTTGCTTCACAATGAACAGCACTTCCCGTTTTTGAATGACGTCATCAACCAAGACATAACTTGCATGTGTACATAGAATGTTTACTGAAATTGATCACACCATTAAAAATCATGCAAATTTCTTTAACAAAAAAATAAGTGATTGTCTTGGAAAGGCCACTGACAAAACACACATTACAGATCGCATCTTAGTTTGAAATTTGCTGGGCAATTCCACAATCTCCATGGTAGATACAACAAATACAACAATCAACAGCCACACAGTAGCCACAGCTGTTTGACAATGCCTGCCACTTGCATACAATACTTTATCAGGTCAATACAACAATCAACAGCCACACAGTAGCCACAGCTGTTTGATAATACCAGCCACTTGCAGACAATACTTTATAAGGTCAATACAACAATCAGCAGCCACACAGTAGCCACAGCTGTTTGATAATACCAGCCACTTGCAGACAATACTTTATCAGGTCAATACAACAATCAACAGCCACACAGTAGCCACAGCTGTTTGATAATACCAGCCACTTGCATACAATTCTTTATCAGGTCAATACAACATTCAACAGCCACACAGTAGCCACAGCTGTTTGATAATACCAGCCACTTACCAATTGCTGACAATACCAATAGGCCCCCACCCAAAAAGTTCTGCTTCCAATTACATGGCATTTGAAAACAGGGTAGGTAGGGGGTTTTTTTTGGGGGGGGGGTGGATTTTTTGACAGGGATCATGTTTCATTCAATACCAAACACCAACTGTGGACAGCACTTTGTCCAGTCAGTCCTTCTGATTTAAGGCGTGTGATCACACCCCCACACCATCACACACCTAAAAGCTTCCCGCAGATCACACACCTAAAAAGTCACACACCTAGAAAAGTCCAGGTGTGCCTTTTTCCACACGCCTGTGATTTTCAAATCAGGACTGTCAAGTCAAAAACAGTCAACAGCAATTTAGCACTCACAGCTGTTTTGACAGGGATCATGTTTTAATAGTCAATACCAGCAACTTACTGACTATGACAGTACTTTAACGAGACAATAACAGTCAGCAAATATTCATTATCAACAACTGTTCTACGGGTCACAGTTGGTCAAGTCATTCTCATGGCCAGTTACTTAAGCAGTCAAAACAGGTCAATAATTTAGTTCTATGCATACAATTCCATCGGGTCAAAAACGGTCACCTGACTGATTTTGACCCGAGTAACAGCATGACTGAGTATGCATGTTTGCATCGGAGGGTTCTAATGGGCCAATTACATAAGTTTATGGATGTTGCATATAAAGGTAAAACATGAGCTAGTATTTTTTCTCTTTTTTTTCACTGCTAGGAAAAAGGTGCTTAGGACAAATTCAGTTTCTAATAGGCACTTCCAGTTACATTATTAAGCCATTTTACATTGTTGTCAAACGAGAATATCAGTTTTCAAAATGGCTTCAAATTTATGATGTGATTAGGGTCATGTATAAACAGGGAGAGACATTTTGTGACAAATGTCCAGTCTGTATGTACGTTTATATCCTCATTATAAAATATCAAATAATTCTTCACAATGACTCTGAGTTTTCTAGGTTTTGACTGGGTTATCATTATTAAGAAATATCTGAAAGGTAGAGCAAGAGGTGGGGGGGGGGGGAATGTTCGAATTAACCCCACAAAGCAGTGCCCCACTACCAGCACTCTTTATTTGTGGGAGAACATAGAAGAGTGCCAGATCACCCATTTTGATTACTTGTTTCTGCTTATTCTTTAGGTACATGTAACTAAAAACTAACCTCAAGAATCAGTAATGGGTAGCCCAGCAAGCAGGTCATCCGTTCATCTGTCGGTCCTCCTCCCTGCTTCCGGTTCCTCGGGTTTCTGTTTGATGAGGCTGTCGGAGCCCTGACAATGTCTTGAGGCAGGCTCATCCTCATCTCAGTAGAGCAATTCCCTCATCAGTCAGTGGTCCTCACTTTGCTGAAAGGATTCAAATAACGAAAGGAAACATTTGAATTATTGAGCTGTATTCGTGCCAGGGCTCGAAAGGGAAAGAAAACATTGAATTAACCCCAGAAAGCAAAGCCCTGCTACCAGAACTCATTTGTGGATAAACATAATAGCAGAGTCAGATCGCCCATTTAAATTTGTTCTGTGACTTGATTGTTCCTGTTAAGAGGAGGCCTATACACAGCCTAAAAGCAGAACAGGAAGGGGACAGACCTCATTTATCCCAGGACAAACCAATAACACCAGTAAATAAAGATATGCTTCAAACTATGTTACAAGGCTATGATGGCATTAAGTACAAATTCTTAATTCATGGTTTTACAATTGGTTTTTAGGTTTTACAGGCAATCAAAAATTTAGGACATCAACAAATTTAAAATCTGCTCTACAAAATCCAAAAGTGGTTTCTGAAAAACTAGGGTTAGAACTTAGACAAGGTAGGCTCGCAGGGCCGTTCCAAGACTTGCCACTCGATAATTTTTGCGTTAGCTCGATTCACTTAGTTCCTAAAAGACAGCCTGGTTCATTTTGAATAATTCATCATTTGTCTCATCCTAAACATGGTTCCGTAAACGATGGAATACCAGATTGCAACACAACAGTCAAGTATGCGTCAACGGAGGACGCAATAACAATGTTGAAGTAAGTGGGCCCAGGATGTGTGCCATCTAAACTAGATATAAAGTGTTAACCATTTATTCTGGAATAGTCCATATTCTGGATGATTTTGTTATCATTTCAACATCGCATCAACAGGGTGTGCAGGATTTGATCGGATTTCAAACACTGAGTAATAAGCTGGGTATTCCCCTTGCACCAGAGAAAACTGAAGGGCCTACAACCTGGCTAAAATTTGCCAGGATCGAACAAGATACAATACATGAAAAAAAGTAAAACTGCTGCAAACTGCTTACTGACTGGATGGACCTGAAATATATAAATCTTAAAATTAATGTGGCCTGACGTTGCGAACTTAGCAAGTTCTTCTTCAGAGGCTAAAACAGAAATGACAGAGGTACATACATTAACATGGGGGTGCACACAAACATGCAGGGCTGAAAGAAGAAACACAAAAGGAGGATTAGGTGTGAAAGGTGTGGAAAGATGCAGGGGAGGGTGGATGAGAGAACAAAGAAACAAAGGGAGATGGCAAACCACAAGGGGTCTTGTGTAAACTGGGGAGGGACCAGAAAGGGGAAGGATCAAAGGTCACGGGGAGTGGGAACGGACAAAAGGGTGTGAGAGTGAAGGGATGATGGGGGGGGGAACGGTATTGAGGTGGAAAGGGATGAAAGATGGGGAAAAATGGGGGAAGATGGGTAAACACAAACAAGGAAGACCAGATGGATTATCTGTAACAGAAGACAATGGAGGAAGAAAAGGATTAATCATTTCCAAGTTGGATGTTGAGACCATGTGGTTGAATAGTTCGAAGACGATTCATCCACACTTTCTCTCTGCTGAGGCGAACTGAGTCCTTGCGATGGCCAAGAGATTCAATGCCCTGCAAAATCATATCAGAAATGGAGTGGTTAGGCAGGTTGAAGTGATGACCAACAGGGGTGTCTAGTTTCTTGGTGTTGACCGTTGACCGGTGGGCATAGAAACGCTTCTTGAGCGTATTCTTAGTCTCACCTACATACTGCACTCCACAGACCCTGCAAGAAATGAGATATATGACATTAGAGGTGTTACAAGTGATGTTACCAATGGTTCTGTGGGTAGTGACAGAAGAGTGGCCAGAAAAGGAGTCAGACTCCTGGATATGAATCTGGCAGACAACACATCTGGAACTGCACTTGAAAGTACCATGCTGGGTGGGAGGGGATGCATCTAAGGAAGGGACTTCAGCTCGAACAATCAAGTCCCGTAGATTTCGAGGACGCCTGTAAGCCAATGTGGGGCCGTTGGGGATGGCGCGGGCAAGGCGATCTGAAGTATGGAGGATATGATGATTGTCATTAGTGATTTTGCGAAGGGGAGGGAGATTGGGGTGAAACGTGGTAACCAAGGGAATCATGGGTTTGGCCATGGCATCAGGGGCCTTTCCCGTGAGAGCTTGATTTCTGGGGATAGCTTTAGCTCTGGCAATGGCACGATGAACTTGGCGAGAGCTGTGACCCCTGGCCACCAAGTTGTTCCTCAGTATCTGTGTATGGCGGGAGAAATCGGAATCATTAGAACAAATTCTTCTGAGTCTGAGTGCCTGGCTAAACGCTATGCCAGTTTTGCAGTGCCTGGGGTGACAGCTGGAGGAGTGGAGGTACTGGTGGGTGTCTGTGGGTTTGGAATACAGGTCAGTGGTTAGTGAGTTGCCTTGCTTGCGGACGGTGACATCCAGAAAGTGGGTTTGGTGAGCCGAGAACTCCGATGTGAATTTGATGGTTCTGTGGAAGGAATTGATGTGGTTAGTGAAGGTCAAAAGACTGTCCTCATCACTGGTCAAGATGAAAAAAACATCATCAATATATCTCCACCAGATCCAAGGGCGACATGGGGCCGATACAATACATACGGTAGCAATGGCCGCGCGGTTACCGCCACATAAATTACAAAAAGCCATCGTTAAAATTATCAAAATCTATTATGTACACCATTTCAAACTGACATTTCAAAGACATACACAATCAGTTTTTACTGAAATTGTCGAAATAAAAAGTATAGCATTTGAGAACGAGTTTAATGCAAACTTTGAATACATATTTTGATAGGAAATCAAGCACTGTATATTTTGCATGGGGGGGGTGTTAAAATACCACCCGAGGAATCATATTTCTTCATCTACAGGTCACTTTTTGTTTCTAAAATAAAACTCACCACAAGAATTCCAAAGAGCATTCACGGTAGTGGTCACAAGGCCGCGGGTTGACGGCTCTGGTCAAGTCCGTAGCTCGGCACCTCGGGTCAAGGCATGGTCGATGACTCGGGCCAGTCCGTAGGACGACACCCCGGCGCAAGGCCGTGGGCCGACAACTCCAGCAAGTCCGTGGGACGACACCCCAGCGCAAGGCTGTGAGCTGATGAACGACTCGGGCCCGTTCCGAGGGCCGGCACCTCGGGGGTTTGCTGTGGGCCGCCGACTCGGGCCAATTCCGTGGGCCGCCACTTACTCGGAGCATGGCCGTGGGCTAAAGACTCAGGCCAATTCCGTCGGTCCGCACCATTGGGTCAAGGCCTTGGTGTCGTCAACTCGGGTCAAGTGTTCAAGTGTTCAATTCAATCGAGATCCAGGCCTTAGAGTCTGCTGAAAACACTGCTAATATCAACCTCTCAAGAAGCGTAGTCACGGTGGAGTCCATTCATGAGGTGGGATGACGTTCCACACGGTAAATAAAGTTGTTCGCTGTTGAAGAGTGAGAAAAAGATCCATTAATGGGGGGCGGTGTGGATTCAGAATATGTTTGAGTTAATCATCTGGAACACAATTTAAGTCAGTTAAAGGTTGCAATGCATATGAACAGGATGCATCAAGAAAATGGTAATTCGAAAAACGATGGGCTAATATGTAAAGGTTAGGATCTTCAAAAATGTCAAAGTGGCCCATCTTTAATAATTGCAAACCAACTACAAATGAGAGCCCATGGGGGAGAAATTTCAAAAAATGTGTCACATGACACATCTCTGGAAATAATCTTTTGTTTTCTTCAAATTGACAGCATGCCATAAAGTTGTCACCCATTTGTGGATCCCCCAATTGCAATCCAATTACAAATTAGAATGCATTGGGGAGGGGCGGATTCACAGAAATTCCCCAAAAGAAGTTCCGCCACTGAGGCCATGGGCAATGCCAGTGGGACTAACAAAATGTGGGATGATTTTGCACATCGTGATGGTCCGATATACAGCTTGTTCTTCGTTGGCATCCATACTGTGAATAAGCAGCTCTGAAAATCATGGTACCACTTTACAGGTAGAGTAGATTATTGATCATTTGTAATTTGTGCATTTTTTAATGTCATTTCAACCAGCAAACTAGTGCTCATCTGAACAAGGATGCTTAATAACTGACCTGATGAAGTTTTGGCTCTATGAATGCTCTATATTTCAAGAAAACTGAACAAACATAACCACAATATTCTGAATCTCAAATTCCAAAGTTGCCGAGTCATATTTTGAATTGCGCCCTCTCATGACACATGACATGATTCTCATTCAGCTGGTTTCACCCATTTGTGGATTCTCCAATTGAAAACCAAGAACAAATAAGAACACTTTTTTTTTTTTTTAAATGTATCACTTGACACGTCTATGGAAATCAACAGCATGCGAGGTTTTGACCCATTCTTGGATTCCCAAATTGCAAACCAAGTATAAATTAGAAGCATGGGGGAGGAGCCAATTCATTTTCAAAAATGTGTCACTTGACACATGTTTGGAAATTGATTGCATGCGAGAAGGTTGCCACCCATTCGTGAATCCCCCAATTGCAAACCAAGTTCAAATAAGAACACATGGGGGGATTTACATAAAAATCCAAAAATGTGTCACATGACACATCTTTGGAAATGATCTTTTGCTTCCTTCAACTTGACAGCATGCCAGAAGGTTGTCAACCATTCGTGAATTAAGTACAAATTAGAACACATAGGGGAGTAGGAGGATTCACAGAAATTTCCAAAAATGTGTCACTTGACACACGTTTGGAAACTGATAGCATGCGACAAGGTTGTCACTCATTTGTAAATCGCCCGAATGCAAACCGAGTACAAATTAGAGCACATGGAGGGATTTACAGGAATTTCCAAAAATGTGTCGATTGACACATTTGGGGGGGGGCGTCAACCATTCATGGATCCCCAAATTGCAAACCAAGTACAAATTAGAATGC